CACTGTCACTTTTAGAAATCTATAAATGTTTAAGTCAGAAAATAAGCTTCCCTTTTTCACCTTAAAAACAGCAGTGTGTGTGCATTGTGTTGTTTCATGTCCTATAGTGACAGCACTGAATTTCCACAAAATCATTTTCCTTTTGGTGACCTTTTTAGAATTCTAATCCAGCAAAACTCATTGAAAAAGTAGAAATAGAACAAAATCTCACCTAGGCTAAGTATACCCTCAGCCTGTCAGCATTTATTTTCTAAATTGCTTTGCACAAATTATTATTCATCTGAGCAGTGTGAGTGGAGGGAAGCAGGTCAGCAGAACGATGATGTATTTCTAGTAAATTGATGGATACTTACCAGCAAAGTCAAACAAAGGAAAAGCAGCCTCAGCACTCTGATCCCAGCGGTTTCTTTCTTCCTGAGAAGCTTGCAGAAGTGCACGTGGAGAATACTGCTATGCTGTGGTTATCTGTTACCCATCCCTTCAGTGCTGGCCATGCTCTGAAAGAATAAACAGCTTGGGAATTCAGCCCAGCATGAGCCCAAACCAGGTGCATTCAGGGTGCTTCCTGCTTTCCTCTGTTTTGTTGGACACAAAGAAGAAGAAGCCACATTTCTTCCCCTGGAGGTGCCAACATGAAGTGCAAACTGGTGTGGTGTTCCCATCCTGACAGAGTCAGTGCTGAAAGGGCTGTTGGGAGCTTTCCCAGGGTGTGAAAGCATGAAAAATTTGTGAACAACAGCAAGCCCACGTCAGTTTGATTCTGCAGTGACAAGCTGTGAGATTCGCCACTGAGTCCATTGCAGCAACCTCACCCCAGCCCAGATCTGAGCTTCCTGGGGCATTGTGTGCTGCTCATGCCACAGCAACTTGGGCATGTCCTTGTCACCTAAAGATTATGGAGTAACATGACAAAAAGTGCTGCATGTAACTGCTGGAAGCATGAATTAATTTGAATTAGGGTTGCTAAGGCAGAAGGAGTAAACTGGAAACACTCACTTGTGAGAGAGACAGAATTCTGGGATGGGAAGAAGAACGGGAAGCTGGAGGATGCCAAAGCCTGTGGTGCACTCAAATCCAGCTCAGGTGTTGTCCTGTAGAGTTTCCCAGTGCAGAACTTGCTTGCCCACACAGCTCAAAGGGCAGCCCAGGGCCAGTTTGCTTCCAAATCAACTCTGCACTGCAAGGAAGAGCTTCTCTGCCTGTTGTTTGCTCACACATGTGAGCAAAATATCACACAGAAATATCCCAGACAGGTCCTCATTGATCCTTCAGCATTGTTGGCTGGATGTGGTTCAGGTTTCTCTTGGTTTTATTTGTTTTGTTTTGATTTTGTGTGGGTTTGTTTTTTGTTTGTTTTGTTTTGATTTGTGGGTGGTTTTTTTTTTGTTTTTGTGGTTTTGTTGTTTTTGTTTTTACCAAAACTGCATAAATAAACTTCATCCAGTAGCTAAGTGTTTGAGGACTTATAGAGGAGCTGGCTTCAGGACTACAGCCCACCTTAAATAAGAGAAATTTATTGCTTGCAGAGAAGAACAGGCTTCAAGCATCAAAGAATGTTGCTGAGCTCTCATTTGGTTTTCAGGTGCCTTTTGTTGTTTTGTAATTGATTTTTATTAGCTGGTACTGTGGGACTATGGCCATGCAGAGAGAATTAATGCAGAGAGAGTCAGCTTAGGAAGTCTGTGGCTATTAGCTTGATCAAATTGTACTTTGAAAATGGGTTAATAAATCTAGAGGAGAAGGGAGGGAGGAGAAGGTATTTTGAATTATTCATCATTTGTTTGACAAGTTTACATAGCCATGAAATGCAGGTGGGAGTATAAGGAGTGGGTTATTTATTAATTGCATATGAGTTGCACAGACCTTTCCCGCTTGCAGCCAGATCTGCTTTCACAACTTAGCTTTGACTACAGCTAGGCAAATTCTTTTTGCCTTCAGCTGAAGAAATTCTAAGTACCTTTGAAAAATCCAATCCATCAAAATTAAAATCCAGTTTATTTTTCCACTCTTAACATCAGTCATCTTAGATAACAATTTAACTATTCTTGATAATGAAAGGACTGAGAAGGAAATGTTCATATATCACATTCTGGAGAGCAAGTGTACAAGAAACCAAATGATCACTGTGGGTTTTTTAGGCTTTATTTTGATATCTTTGCTGCCAGAATGAACACCAGGAGCTGGAGACTGCTCTTACCCTTGTTGGAACTTCACAACCTTCTGGAAAAGCCTGAGGAAGGTGAAGATCTGAGAGGGCTTTATGGGGTAAGGTTTTGGCAGATGGAATGCATAACAGGCAGTTCCTTTTTGTGAACAAATGTGAAATCTGTGTCAGGAACCATAACTGAAAATACCTTCCCCAATCCACAAGTATTTATCTTTTTTCCTTAACATTCTGTGTAGCCTTTTTTTGAGCCCAAGTAGACTTCACCATCTCCAGCTTTAGTTTTCTACCAAAATGTCAACATTTGAGACTACAGCTCATGCACCAACAAAACACTGTTTGGGATTTCCCCTTTCCAGATATATCTGCATCTGAATTGTAGTAATGAATGCCGTTTCCCATTTTTTGCAGGGCACACGAATAAACTGAACCAACTTTCTTTCCATACCAGAATTAAGCTAAAGTGTAGAGACAATACAAAGATGCATTTCTTTGGAAAAAAGTGCAGCCATTCCACAATTTCACTTCCCTTGCTGCCCAACCTGTAGCAAAAGCAGATCTGTGGCATTATCACAGAGGAGTTGTCTGCATGTGTCCTGCTCCCCAACCTTCCCTAAAGCTGGAGCTGTCTCTCTGTACTTCCCTCCTCAGCAGTCACCTCATCAGTGACTCCAGGGAAAGATATGTAAGGAAATATCAATTCCTAGTCAGGATAAATCATACATCAAAGTTTCCATTAATGCTGTCAGTTAAATGGATGGGTGACTTCACAAAATTTTGAGGCTTTGAACATTTTAAATTTCTTTTTCAAGTAAAATCGTAAAAGATCCTTTGGGAAGGATCAAAGATCAGAGTTGATCCTCTGCTGGGATACGTTGTTTGCAAAATCAAGTTTTTCTCTGCAGCTCTGAGAGGGTATTGTGGCATTCACATTCTCTGGAAAAATCCCTTTGCCCAGGATTTTTCTCCTGGGAAGCTGAGAAGCCTCAGAGAAAAAGGAAAACAATTCTTATCTCATTTGCTTCTCCTGTGTTGTGCTCATGTGGAATGTGTTTGGAGATTGTTTACCCACAGGGGATTGTTTTTTTTGGTTTCTGGTGTGAGTTGTTTTGACTCATTTGGCAAAATTCTGGAAAGAGTCACGAGTTTTCATTATTATCTTTTTAACATACAGTAAGTATCCTTTCTGTATTCTTTAGGATAGTTTAGTATAGTATTCTTAGTATAGTTTAGTATAGTATTCTTTAATATAATATAGTATCATAAAATAATAAATTAGCCTTCTGAGAACATGGAGTCAGATTCATCATTCCTCCCTGCCACAGGGGACCCTGCAAACACAACAGGGTATGAAAATATTTATGTTTATTCTGACATAGAGAAGGAAGAGATTCTACATATCCACCCCTAAGGGTCTGTTAATACAGAAAATTCATGCTTGTGGATGGAAACCACGTGGGTGAGATTTACTAAATGATTAATGCTGTATGGTTTGGGGAGTCACACCCTGCTCCTGACAGCTCCCAGGCTAAGAACCCTGCGAGATTTGGGAGCACTGGTGGTTTTTGGTGAGAGGAGGCCCCACCCAGCAGGGGCAGTGATGCTCGGGTGTGTTTTCTGCTCCTTCCCAACAACAGGTGGCTGTGCTCCCCCGCAGGCAGGGCGTGGAGGAGGTGAGGAATTTACTCAATACTCGATTTATTTCCAGTGTCTGATGGGAGTAAGGGTGGGGGCAAACTGTGCTGGTTCAATTAATACTCACACAGAGTGGTGGAGGGTTTTCTTGCCCAGTTGGTTTGGAATAGTGGCACCACCGGAGCCTTTTTGGGAGCTGGTCCTCCAGACCCACAGGTGGGAACGTACAGAGCAATCAGTGACTCAGCATTGGTAGCATTGTGCCTCTTTATTTTTGTAAAAAAATCCCATTTTCTATAGCGCATGGACAAGTGGGAAGGGAACAGCCTGCAGGAGGGGAAGGGTATGGCTGTGAGACCTGCAGTGCTCCAAGATGCAGCAGAAGTTCCAAAAGATGCTCCAAAACTATGCAAAAGTTCCAATAACCACTTTGGAAGGCCAAAGGATGCCAAACTCCACTAGAGGCCACTCACCAAGCACAGACCAGCACACCCCAACATTCTCTCTTCCCAGACACATCCTCAGGTCTGGGACACTGCAAATGATAATGAAAAGAGGGGAAAAGCATTCTTCTATTTCTCAGTGGGAAAAGTTTTAAAATATACTGGCATTTTGCAGACAAATGAGGCACCCTGGGTGCCACTGTAGATGTGTCAAGTGGGACAGAGACTTTATGTGAAATCAAGCTTTGGAAAGGAAAACTTGTCATTTTCCTGTGAGAAGATAGGGCAGCCTTCCATAAGAAGAGTACTCTATAAAAATACCCAGTCTGCCCAAAGATACCATCTGATATATAAAGAGATTACTCATTTATTTAAAGGATAGTTTCTGAATAAGTTTTAAAGTGTTGTGGGACTCTTCTGAATTAAAATTCCTTAGTGTGATGGAAAGAAGCTCAGTCCTGACCTGTACCTCACCTCGGGGGCCATTTTGGCTGAGTTAAGAGCACTCAGAATTTGATACTGTCATTTTCCATCAGATGTCTGATATTTTATATCAATAAAAGCTGAGTCTGTCCTGCAGACTCTTGGATACAAGGCTTTTCTGCAGATTGCTGTGCTGGGAAGCTAATGTGGTTTGGTTGCTGATTCAGTAAGTTAGAACAGGGTCTAGGTAAGTGGTAGCTTTTGAATGGAGAAGTTTTCCAGGGTAAGTCATATGGTGAGCCTGGGCTGAGCTGCCTCATGATGGCTCAATGAATAACACAGACCAAACCAACTTGAGCAGCATGGATTTTTGTTAATTTTAAATGTCATTGTCTAACTCAGTAGCCATCTGTCTTAGCTGGATTAATATCCTGATCATCACAAAAAAAATTGGCTCTTGTGCAGTATTAAGAGTCGAGGAGGCAATCTTCAGATGCTGTGTGATCCTGCCTGGTGTTGTCTCCACAGAGGATAACCTGCATCCTGCCATTTTCCCAGGGAAACACAGCCAAGCATGGCATGGAGAGACACTGCTGAGAGTGAATTTTTTGTGTATTCCCTCACACAATCACTGTTCTGGTTCACTGTCCAAGCCAGGTTGGACACTGGGGCTTGGAGCAGCCTGGGACGGTGGAAAGAGTCCCTGCCCATGGCAGGGGGTGGAACAAGGTGATCTTTAAGGTCCTTTCTAACCCAAACCATTCTGGGATTCTGTGATTCACAGGGATTAATGAAGTAAAAGGAATTATTCAGTATAAGGAAGCAATGTTTAAATGGTTTTGTACTCAATACATCAGTGAGAAGTTGCACTAGTCCTGCCAATGGATCCAGTGTATCCAGGGGGGGTTTTACCTGTTATTCTGTTTCCCTCTCAACCATCTGCAAAAGCCCAGATATTCCCAGTCCAAACAGCTCACCCAGACCTTCAAAGGTAAGCAAAAAACCTGTTGTACACAGAGCATTTGAAGAAAAATATTGTGTTACTATCACAGGTCCAAGTGACAGCATCTTCTCTAATTTTGCACTGGGTGTCTGTGAGGACTTTACACTGTCCAAGCCCTTGGAGAGAGGAGAATTGGCAAATAAGAATGTAGATATGTGTGGAAAACATCCAGGGGATTTTATTGCTGAGCTAGAGTTAGACTGTAATAAAGTGGATAAGCTGTGTAAAATACCTGCCCTTTAGAGATGTGGCTGAAACAATTCACTGAAGGTTTTTCTGTGAGAGGCAGTGGCTCTCCCAGGAGTGCTTTCCCATATTTGGTTCCATCTTTTCCATCCACAGCAGCAAAGGCTACCTCTGTACGTCACTCATAGGACTGGGTCAGATTGTTGTTCCATAAATCCAAATAAACATTTCTTTCCCCCGTGAGATTCCATCAGGATATTTGAATCCAATCATATCTTCCAGTGCTCAGTGAGTTTATTTTCCATCTGCATGTTCCCTGTTAGTTTGTGTCCAAAGCTGTTCCCGCTATTCCTTATTGCAGTGCCAGGCCTGGGCATCTCCTCAGCTTTCTTTGGAGGAAAACAAATGAAAAATCTTCGGAAGAACTCGTCTGTCTTTTGAGGAAGAAAACCCAATATGGACATGAGAGAACATGTTATTATGAAGTGGAGTCTGTTAGGAGAGCAATGTCAATTGGGCTCCCAAAACTTACACTGCATTTTAATGACTGAGTGATACTGGGGAGCCTAAAAGCATGGGAGCATAAAATGTTTGTGTTCTGCTCAATTAATATAAAGAAGGACTAAGGAAGAGGTAGAGTGTCTTATAAGTTTTTTTATCTCATTTCCTGCTGCTGCTGCTTCTTTTTGTTTTAAACCTTGCTTCAATTTTGGCTTTATTCTCTTTCCTCTTTAAAGTTTTGTCTCTTTTTGATATCTGGTGTGCAACTATTCACTAAATGGGTTCTAATGTCAGAAAGATATAGTTCCAGAAGGTGATGAAAGATTTCTATATTTGTGAAGATCCATTGTTTAATTGCCATTCAAGTGAAAGAGAACAATTTAATGTTTTCCTTCTTGAATGTGAGAAATGCCTGAGAATTTTCAAGCCACCAACAATTTCTGTGTGTGCCCTGTAGGCTCTTCCCACTTACACCACTTCAGCTTTGTTGTTTCAGAGAGAGAAGTCAGCAAACACAGGCTCCAGGACACATTCTGCTATGTCTCTCTGGGTTTTTGGCTGTCATTAATGTGGTTTTTCCCATTTTCTGCAAGGTTTTTAGGGGGTGTGAGCCTCCCCTGACAGCAGCAGGTTTCTGTGATGTCCATTTTATGGAGGATGTTGCACACATGCTGCCCGTGGTACCAGTGACACCCTCCAGATGCTGCTGAGGCTTTGCAAGAACTTGTGGGGCTCAGCAGGCAGCCAGAGCTTCTGTCCACCACCTTTGCTGAACAAACAACACCTTTCCCAAGCACGGAGCCCTCTTTGCTGTGGGCTCCCTACGTGGTGGGGATCCTGCTGTGCATCTCCACGTCCGTGAAGTGCTGCACGTTCTCAGTGATCTCTGGGGAGGTGATGGGTGACACAACGTGCTTCAGGCGCAGGAGCATGGAGAAGAGCAGGATCAGGAGGAGAGCCAGCAGGGTTAGGAACAGCCCCACGTACACATAGAGGCCAGAATATTTGTCTGCTGTTGTGTCTACTTCAGTAGCCAGGGTTGGAAGGTGGACACGGCCAGTCAGGTTCCCGCGGAACTTGAAATAGATCTCAGTCATTGCTCTCTGTCAGCTTTGGTCCATTTTCTGTATTTACCTTCAGATCTCCTGTCTCCCCTCACCAGGCTCACAGAGGAGGTCAGGAGAGGAAACTCAGCACAGATGGCAGGATGGCTTCAGCAGGAGCTGCTCCATCCCCGCGGTGTTGAGGCTGCTGCTCACACGACTGAGGAACAGGCCTGTGCAGACCATTTTGCACCTTGCTGTCATAATGACAACGAGCATCACACTTGTGCTTTACACTTCCTTCTGGCTTTTATTCCATCCTATAAATACTTTGGGGCTCCTCTTGGTAGGTCACCTCCTTTGGATGGTGAAAAGCTTTGGTTCTTGTCTCAAGCTGAGCTGCGAAGGTTGGCACAGCTTTGGTCCTTGCAAGTGTTGTTTTTCCAGACAGACTGAGCAATCAGCTTTCTGCCAGCTTCTCTCTGCCACAGCAGGTGGTTTATCCTTGGGTGAGCTGGGGAAGGTTGTTTTCTGCTTTGCCAAACGTCTGGGAGGATCTCTTCTCTCCTAATTCAGGGCTTAAGGAGTCTGGAGTTCCGAGTTTCTCATTAGGAATGGTCAAAAAGTCAGATTTCTAAAGGGAAAAAAGCGTGAGAGAGATAAATGACACCAGGTAGCAAAATAGCCTAGCCTGGATGTGGTATCTTTAGAGCAAATAGATAAGAAAACCCCTGTAATGCTCCTGGGAGACACTCTGAGATGAGGAGAAGCACTGAGTATTTAACTTTAGAAAAACACAGTGCAAATCTAATGGTTGATGTCCTCTCTGGTAACACATTATTAAGGGTAATACATATAATACATTATTGCACAAGCTGTGCAATCAGATGTCAGAGAGGAAGGGGAGATATGAATCCAATCAGTGTTTTTCACCATGTGTCTCATTTATTGCGTCTCAGCACCCTCTTTTTCTGTGGCTGGATGCACCTGGCAGCTGTCCAGAGCCCTACCTGTCCAGAGCCCTACCTGTCCCCCTGCTGCAGGATGTGACACTTCCCTCTCCTCCTGGCAGCACAACTTACTAGAAATTGGGGGAATATTAACGTTTTTGCTGTTGCAGTTCTTCCAGCTGGAAACAGAAATTAAAATTTTGAAATTTCACTGTATATGGTGCATTCAAAACCATTATGTTCTGCTCTGATGAGACCAGAATTTTGGTTTTAGCTGAAACAAAAATGGAAGCACTGAACAAACTGATGCAATAATTTATAATGTCCACTGCCTATAAACCTACACAAGGTGTAAATAGAGTAATATTAACATGGTAAATAGAGTAATATTAACATGGTAATATACTATGATAATCAGAATAAATGAAACAAGAGGTCAATATGATAAAAGCTCTGACACATTTCACCTAAATGACAAATTGCTGCAAAACATTTTGACTTTTAAGGGACTCCAATTTTCACTACAAGAAAGAAAGACGTGCTTTGGCTCATGGGATGAAGAAATATCTGATTTGCTGAGTTTTGGAGAAGGGACATGGGGGCTTGGATACACTTTGCCTCCCAGCTCCTCCTTCAGTACCAAAGCATTTGAGCTCAGTGTTCTTGCAGAGGCTGACCCAGCCCCTCTGGAACTGTATTTTCTGTATTTATTTTCTGTATTAACCTGTAGTTACTCTGGCAAAGGGCTTGGTGCTGATGCAGAGGTATGGGCAGGGCAGCCAGGCTGTTCTGCTCTCAATTACAGGGCAATAACTGTGATTTTCACACTTGGAATCTATAAATGGAAATTCTTCTCCCGTGAAGAATATTCTCGTGTTACACAGCAGGTGGGGAATAGAGGGTGTGAAGGTAACTGTATTAAATTCTGTTCTTACAATGTGATTTCTCTGCTGATAATGAAGTGCAACCAGCCTGGAATCTGACACTTGTGTGAGTTAAAGCACAGAGCCATGTCTTTGCCCATCCCATCTGCTCTGTTGCTGAGAGAAAAAGCCAGAGCTGGTTCCTCTCCTTAACGAGCAGACAGCCTAATTGCTTTATATCCTTCATAAAATTAGACTGCAGAATGCTAAGGACATTAGTCTGAAGTTCAGTAATTAACTACAAACCAAGATGCTGAATTAGTAAAGCTCAGCTGGGTATTTATTGAAAAAAGGAGCAGATTAATAGTAAGAAGTATTAGGAATGGGGAGCTGGCACTGTTTGGGGTTTTTTTTAGGCTCAACTACAGATTTGTCAGGAGCAATCAACTATTCAGACTATTGAAAGCTGCAACGTTAACTGCATCTTCTCCAGAAATGAGCCAGAAATAATTCAATAGCTCCAGGCAACCCCAAAGATTTTTTGCTTTTCAATCTACCAATTATCCCATTGAGCACATCTCTTTGGATACCATTAGATTCAGATTTTGTACACTTCCCTCTAAGGAAGAGAAACTGAATGACTGTAGAGACCAACATGATGTGAAAACAAGTGGTAGACAATAATTCTGTGTGTAAAGCTGTGTATGACTCAGATTAGAGGAGGCAGAACCTCACTGGTGACCATGAGGAGCCCTCAAGTTCATGGACACAGGAGCATTCCCTGTGATCTCATTTTCCAAGATTCAGTCATTCTCTGGCTGAACAATGCTCCAATTCTGACTGATCACTGGTGCTCAGTGGGTGCAGACTGATTCCAAGCAGACGCTTGGAGGTTTTTTTATCAGTTTGTGGCTTTTTTAAATCAGGAATTTAAAAAACCCAAACCCAACACATTTCATTTAATAAAAATCTGCAATGAAAATAGAAGCCTTCATAAACAACAGGAGAAGGGTTTTCCCCCACAGTGTGTCTCTGAGCCAGGAAATTCATCAGCCAAAACTTCATGGGCACTGACATTAGCAGCCTCCCACTGCAGCTCTCAGGGTGTGGGGAGCTTCAGCTCTGGGGAGCATTTATGAAGCCTGCATTGCTCTGCTCTGCACCTTTGGAGGTCACAGGGGAGCAGAAAGAAAGATTTTCTCCAAACAGTGCACACAGGCAGTACAAATTGACCCTGCAGCTGCAGTAAATGTTTTTGTCTTGCCCACCTGCTCCCTTCTACTCCCGTGCTCAGTGTGAGCACCACTTGCCAGCACAGCACCTCTGAAAGTGCAGGCAACTTCCCTGAGCTCCCCTTGGCCTCTCCTCCCTTCCAGCCCTCAGGACAGTCCCCAAACTTACAAACAGGTGAGTGGGACAAAATAGAACAATTCCTTGTGTAGCTTCTTCAAGTGCACCCAGCTGGCTGGCGAGTACAGGGTGGCTTGGGGTTGAACAGAACACACAGCACCAGGATGGTTTGGGGTTGAACACACAGCACCAGGTGTGCTCTGTTCAAGTCACCTTTACAGAAAAATATCAGCACTGATAAACACAAAAAAACCCATCAAAACTATCAATTCCATCCATGGCTTGCATTTTCTCCCTCGGGGAGAGAAGAGAGGCAGGGGGGTGATTGTGTCTCCTCTTTTAGTGGCAGAGGAGATATTTTGTTCTCATGCTGAACACCTGTGAGGGTGCTGGCCATGCTGGTGCACAGGGAGAGAAGAGAATAAAGCACAATTACCTTTCAGAGCTGGTGGCAGGGCTGGGATAAGGCTCCAGAGCCCCTGCTCCACACCATGAGCTCGCTGCTGTTGGTGTCCCCGGGAGCATCTCCTCGGTGGGATCTGTGCAGAAGGCTCTGCTGTCCTGGAGCCAGGACCGTGCCCTCCAGCCCAGTGCACTTTCCTCCTCTGCTGTGGATATCCGAGGCAGGGGTGGCTCTGAAATCCCGACCCTGGGATGCCACCAGGGCAGGGTGGTTCTGCTGATGGATGGAGGGCACCGCTGATGATGGGCGCCGCTGATGATGGGCACCGCTGATGAAGGAGGGCACAGCTGATGATGGAGGGCACCCCTGGGTCCCTGCAGGGGCAGGGCAAGGGCCGAGGAGCTGCTCTGGCTGAGCTGCTCTGTGGGATGGATGCAGGCAGAGCCTCCCTGCCTTCCTCCCTCCCTCGGCAGCACCAGGAGGGGATGAGCCGAGCTCCGGCTCCGAGCGAAGGGAGGGACGCTCTGAGCTCAGCTCGCTGCAAAGTTTGTGCGGGGCTCGCTTTAACTCTTACTCGCTCGGTTTAACTCCTTCTCCCTCGCTTAAACTCTTACTCGCTCGGTTTAACTCCTTCTCTCCCGTTTTAACCCTTTCGTGCTTGCAAGGCTGCGCTGCCCGCTGGTTGAGGAGTGAGACATCACCCTGGAGAGGAGCTTAGGGTCCTCTTGTTTTCTAGGGAAGTTCAAAATTCGGGTTTTTTTTTGTTTGTTTTGTGCCTCCTGGTGAGGGTTCCTAACCCCTCTATTCGCCTGATCAGTCCTAATTACCGCAGTACCCTACTTCTGTCCCTTCCAGTCCTTACAGACAATAACCTTAACACCATATTCTTCGACCCTGCAGGGGGAGGAGACCCTGTTCTATGCATCCTGTCTGGAGCAAAGACACCTGTCCCCTTCCAGCCCTCAGGACAGTCCCAAGCGTTGCTCTTTGGCCGTGCAGCTTTGGGTGCGTTTTTGTCCCTGTGCCTGCTGGTCGGTGGTTTGGGAAGGGCTATGCTGAATTTACAGGTCCTGACCCCCCTGAGTAGTTTGGAACTGCAAGAATAAGCACAGTCCCAACCCTGCAGTGTTGTGGGCAAAAATGATTTTTGCTGATTTATGAATGTGTGAAACACAAACAGAAATTTACAGACACAGAAATGAGGCAGGAGGAGCCAGGGCTGGTGAGAACCCAAAGCACATGGATCCCTCTCACTGCCACACCTCCCAGCCTGCATTTCCCCACCCTCCCGGGCTGACAGAGTGGGGATGTTTTGTGACAGATGCCAGTCTGGGATGCACTGCTCTCGGGTTGCTGTTGATATTTGCTGCCCCGAGATGTGCAGGGTGTCTCTGCTTCGGCTCTGCAGCTGAAGAACGAGTCTGGACTCTTCACTTTTCAGTCTTGAGGTTGTTTATTAATTCTTAACTATAAAATTTTCTTTCTGCCCAGCCGAGGTCTGCTCAGCAGGGCAGCCACAGGCACTCTGACTGCCCCCAAGGCGGTGTTGTCCTTTTATACTACAAACTACATATAACATATTTACACTTAATTCCCAATACCCATCACCTGTGTTAGACAGTGCACTTCTACTCTAAACCAATCCCAAAGCGCCAACATCACTGCAGAAAATGGAGAACAAGAAGAAGAAGAAGGAAGGCTGGACATGCCCAAGTTCCTCCATCTTGTCCCCATAACCTCCATACCAAAAATCCTAAAATCTACATTTTCACCCTGTGATCATTTTGTTATTACACTATTCAAACCTGTGTGACTTTCATGTCCTCATACAAAGTTGGCAACTTGCTCCAGGGGTCAAAATCAAATCCCCAGGTGCTCTGGGCTGCTTGCCAGGGTCTCTGAGCCCCCTGACAAGGTTCTTAGCAACTCTGGGTATCCAAATGGATGTATTGAGTTGCAACAGACTGCAGCTGTCCCCAAGGTGTCACCAGCACACGAGATGCAGTTTGCAGCTCTGAGCAGCTTGGGCAGCTTTGTGCAGCTGTATTTAGTGTGCCCATGTCCCTGTGCCCCAGCAAGGGCTGGAGGCACCTTCATGGGGTGGTCCTCACCCACAGCCCCACTCTGGCCTCTGGTTTGTGGAAGTTCCAGGTTGATGTTCATGGCCCGTGTTTGGGGCACTGGAAATAAACTTCCCCTCTGAAAAGTAGGTCCTGCACAGGGGTTTTGGAAAGACCTATTAATTCTCTGTCTCTGCAGCTTTCTGTGTGACAAAATAGGGACATTTAATCTCCAAGCTGTCTCCTAGAATAGCTTTCCCTCCCTGGTTCCCCATGGCCACAGCCTGAGCAGAGGGGCCAAAGGGTAATGAAAGCCAGAGCTGCCCAGCTCTTTCATCCTCCTGGGATGCATTATAAATCCATCTCTCCAAAGGCTCTTCAGTCTCTGGAGCTCACAAGCGCAGTGTATTATTACAATGCAGCACTCTTTAGATAAATAAAACATAGTCCCTTAAAAGAAACCCCAATTCCTCCATTCTTCTGTGCAGGGATGAACTCTGTAAACTAAGACATAAAAGGCAGCTTTGACTGCTGACTTTAGTGCATATTTCCTTTGTTGCAATATCAAGTGCTGTCCCCAATATTGCAGTCTATGCCACCATTCCCTGCTAGGCACACAGGGATGAAAGTACAGTGGTAAAGAAGAAGAAAAATTGTGGTTTTTTCCCCTGGAATTGTTACAATTGCTGCTTTACCAACAAACCACCTCCAAACCCTCGGTACACATCCTTGTATTTAAGAAGAAAGAAGTGAGAGCTCTGTTTAAGCAGGAATTCTGTTGCTGGTTGAATTTATGAGACCCAGAAGAGACAGATATGTTGAAACCTTGCATCCTTGCTTGCTATATAATGCTAATGAGCTGAAATGAAAGGCTCTCTCCCTGTCCATGCCATCCAGCTTCTTTTTGTTGATTTTGCAATAAATTATCTCTCCCTTTTGTAGGACCAAGCTGCTGCTTGCTGGGTGGGTGCACTTGGATTTCTTGTTTGTTTTGTAGCAGGGTATAATAATGACAGATGAATTTTAAATACTGCCACAATTTATACCAGCTGAGGCTGATGAATACTCGACTGAATGATTGCTGAATTCCCAAATTGTTGAGAAGTATGTAAATTTTTGGGACAATCAGCGAAAAATTTGTGTTACATAAAATAAAGGTGTACAAACTCCCTTGGAGATGCTCAGAGATGTGACCCCAGGGAATGTATATTTTCAAACAGCCCTTGGGAATTTGGGGGCAAAAACCCAGGGAGCTTGTTGGACTCTTTCCTGTGCACCATTTGGCCTGTGTCTCAGTCTTTTAATCAGGTCATTTTACACATCTTTCTTATAATGATCCCCACCAGTCTTAGAGAGAAATTTGGATTAAAGAAGCAAACAAGATCTCTGCATGATTGTTAGTGAGTAAAATCTGTGTGCTCCTGTAGGGATTCTGGTGTTACCCTAACTCAGGAATCCTATCAACACAGTAAATGCATAATTTGGGGCTTTAAAATTTCCTTTCAGTGCAGCTGCAGTGACTGGGGACATGCTGAAGCAAGGGGTAGCTGTTTGTCTTGGCAGACTGGGATCTGTTTTTGTTCTAATCTGTTTTGTCCTGTACCACAAGCAGGCTTGTAGAACACGTTAAAAGACACGTTCTGGTAGGCTTTGAACCAGGGGTCTATAAAGGATGGAATTTAAAATATGATAAATATTCAGGTTCCTGTGAAATGGGCCCAGCTGCCAGCAGCTTTGAGGAGAAACCCCACAGTGCAAGGGGTGGCATCCTTGGAAGCAAAGACAGTTGCCTCAGGCTTGTTCCTTGCTTAGGCCCCAACCAAATGTACTGACTTCTCTCTGTCTCATTTCTTTTTCATGAAAAAGGAAAATTATTGTTCCCTCCCCCCACCAAGGGCTACACAAATGCAGTGGTCATGTGTGCCCTGCTCCAGCAGCACCCTTTCCCTCTGTGCATTCCCACACAATCTCCTTTTCTCCAGCACACTGAGCCTGAAAATGCTCATGGAGTTTGGACTGAAAGAGTTTTGTTGCTTTGAAAGGCTCCGGGGCTGTTTTGACAATTTGGCTTTGTCTGGAACTTCATCATGGCAATGCTTCAGTTTATTTATAGAAACTTAGTCTCCCACAGATGACTGAAGAAATTCAGTGTTGTCTGATGTCGCTGCTGATTTTTAGGAACGTTTCTAATTTGATTTACAGTTGTCAGTGAAGGGCTGCATTGTTCTGCACAGAATTCTGTCTGGAACAGCCCTGGGCTTCATTTTTGTGAGCGAGCTCGTGGGGAAGGCATTGCATTTCCCCAGAATGGCATTAGCACTGTTTGCAGAAGGAAAAGTCAGTGAGGGCTGGCTCAGGCAGGGCAGCTGCCAGTGAACAGGGTCCTGTGAACACCTTTGGAGCAGGGAGTATTTGAAAATCAGATTCCAGCAGGATCCAAGCCACAAGTTCATGTCAGCCACCCTCCATCAAGATCCCACATGGATCACGTGGGCCTTGGCAAAAATTTATTGAAAAATAAACAGATCTTGTGTTCTCCAGCCCACAGTCTGGAACATTATTATTATTTCTCCTGAAGTAGGATAGCTCTTGCAGCAGTGCCTATTTTTAAGGGAGTTCAGCACAAACTCCAGACCCAGGAGCTTCATGCAGGTCTGGAGAAATCTTGAGATGTGCTGATCTTTGGTTTTGGCTGGCTAAATACAATATTTTGGTTGCTAAAATGCAACCTGAGAGACAACAGTGAGCCACTGTGCCTCAGTCACTGAGAATGGCTGTGGCATTCACATTCTCTGAAAAAATCCCTTTGCCCAGGGTTTTTCTCCTGGGAAGCTGAGAAGCCTCAGAGAAAAGGAAAACAATTCTTATCTCATTTGCTTCTCCTGTGTTGTGCTCATGTGGAATGTGTTTGGAGATTGTTTACCCACAGGTGATTGTTCCATTGGATTCTGCTGGGAGCTGTTTTCACTCTTTGGCCAATCAGGATTCTGGAAAGAGTCACGAGTTTTCATTATTATCTTTTTAGCGTTGTGTAAGTATCCTTTCTGTATTCTTTAGTATAGTTTAGTATTCTTTAATATCATATAGTATAATAAAGTAATAAATTGGCCTTCTGAGAACAGGGAGTCAGATGCATCATTCCTGCCTTGGTCAGGACATTTCCCAGCAAATACAATAAATGGGCTCTCGTTTTTCACCCTCCCAGCCCAGCTTGTCCTAGGGCTCACCAGGACTGCACAGTGAACTCCACACCTGGGCTGGCTGCAGCCACTGAAAGCCTCCAGGAGATGAGGGTGTGTCCCTGCATGATGGACAAATCACCCAGGAGGACAATGCAGGGTTTTTGAGTCACCCATGGAATTTTCTCCTTCCCATCTACATGGCAGGGCTGGTGCCCCAGGGGACACCTGGCATCAAACCAACACCTGAGGTGTGTAAATG